GAGTCTTCAGCCTGACGAGTGAACGCTTTAACCACTAGGCTACCCCAATGCCCCCCAAGTGCCTGAGTGAGTGAGTGAGTGAGACCCAGACATGGTGCTGACATACCAAGGATCCTAATCAGGACAAATATGGGATTCTAAGAAAGCAGCTCCAAGCATGGCTAAACTCTACACTGATATGTGCTAAACCTCAGGTGGGTAGTATATGTTTCATCAGCAGATGTAGGTGGATGGTGAAAATGTTCCACTGCTCGATTCATGTTTGACACTGAAACACAGGTTCCTGAGCCCTTTCACTATAGGACTATATGTGAAATATGCCTTTATTACCCTAGCAGCGAATACCCAGAAATAGTCATGTGCCCATACACATTCCAGAGTACAGAATGAAATTTGAGGGCACACTGATCGAGCAAATACCAAGGAAATAATCATGAAATGCCAAGACCATTTTCACTCATTATAGACAGACTAGTATTAGGTGTTTCTAACCATTAACTTTGAAATAAACAAAACAGTACTTCACAAGTACACCCCATCAAACGATTATGAAACTACACATAGCTTTGAAGATGAGTTTTCATTATTTGCCGACCACCCATCTCCTGACAACCAACATCAGTATTAACTTACAAGGATATAGACAACATGTGCAACTTGAGATGCTCGGCTTGAGATATGCAGATTAATATTGCCTCTTCTGACAGTTATTACAACATAATAAATCACATTGTAAACATCCTTGGACAAAACCACATCATCGTCTTCATAGCAGCCTATGATAAGAGACCAGAGCCGTCATAAACTAGCCCTGATAAAAGCACTCTTGTAGGGAGGTGATGTTTAAACCTCCTTAAGTCATGGCCAATACAAAACACAGTTCAACAGATGCAGGTTTAGGAGGTCGTACACTTACAGTGTGTTTAGTGGGGAGGCAGTGCAGGTGGTGATGACAATACCCATATCTCATGTTGACAGCAACATAGTAAACAGATGTATCATGTTGACAGCAACATAGTAAACATACGTATTATGCTGACAGACACATAGTAAACAGTTTCATGTGAATAGCAACATAATAAACATATGTATTATGTTGACAGCAACATAGTAAACAGTCTCATGTTAATAGCAACATAGTAAACATATGTATAATGTTGATGGCAACATAGTAAACATATGTATAATGTTGACAGCAACATAGTAAACAGATGTATCATGTTGACAGCAACATAGTAAACAGATGTATCATGTTGACAGCAACATAGTAAACAGATGTATCATGTTGACAGCAACATAGTAAACAGATGTATTATGTTGACAGCAACATAGTAAACAGATGTATTATCTTGACAGCAACAGTCAACAGATGTATTATGTTGACAGCAACATAGTAAACAGATGTATTATGTTGACAGCAACTTAGTAGACAGTTTCATGTTAATAGCAACAAGGTAAAGAGACATGTCTCATATTGATAGCAACATAGTTAACAGATGTATTATATTAATAGCAACATAGTAAACAGATGTATCATATTCATAGCAACATAGTTAACAGATGTATTATGTTGACAGCAACCTAGTAAAGAGTCTCATATTAATAGCAACATAGTAAACAGCCCTGTATCATGTTGATCATAACATAGTAAACAGTCTTATGTTAATAGCAACACAGTAAACAGTCATATGTTGATAGCAACATAGAAAACAGCCCTGTATCATGTTGATCAGCAACATTGTACACAGCCCTGTCTCATGTTGCTAGCAACAGAGTAAACATCCATGTCTAATCAACAGACACGACAGTCTTGTACCATAACACAGACTTACGATAGTCGTAACTCCTGTACCATCATAGACCTACAACAGCAATCACTCTCGTACCATAACACAGACTTACGATAGTCGTAACTCTTGTACCATCATAGACCTACAACTGCAATAACTCTCGTACAATAACACAGACTTACGATAGTCGTAACTCTTGTACCATCATAGACCTACAACAGCAATCACTCTCATTACCATAACACACTTCCTTATGATAGTTGTAATGCCTGTACCATCATAGACCTACAACTGCAATAACTCTCGTACAATAACACAGACTTACGATAGTCGTAATGCCTGTACCATCATAGACCTACAACAGCAATAACTCTCGTACCATAACACAGACTTACGATAGTCGTAACTCTTGTACCATCATAGACCTACAACTGCAATAACTCTCGTACAATAACACAGACTTACGATAGTCGTAACTCCTGTACCATCATAGACCTACAACTGCAATAACTCTCGTACCATAACACAGACTTACGATAGTCATAACTCCTGTACCATCATAGACCTACAACTGCAATCACTCTTGTACCATAACACAGACTTACGATAGTCGTAACTCCTGTACCATCATAGACCTACAACAGCAATCACTCTTGTACCATAACACAGACTTACGATAGTCGTAATGCCTGTACCATCATAGACCTACAACAGCAATAACTCTTGTACCATAACACAGACTTACGATAGTCGTAATGCCTGTACCATCATAGACCTACAACAGCAATAACTCTCGTACAATAACACACCCCAATGGCGCTATTAGCGGCGTCAAAGACAGTTACATCTCTACTCACCCGCTGTACCAGGACATTCCCAGTACTGTTGAAACAACCCACTCTTACACAACTACACAAAGGATATGATTCATAGCTTCATTGTTACACCAAGGCTGAATATCCAAAAACAGAACACTGGAGCACTTCACTCCGACCAACGAGTCATACAGGAAGAACTATTTCAGATTGTGAAACCACTAGATGGTTCAGTGACAGACAAACTGGGTTCAGTTGCACTGAGCGATCTAACCACTACAACAATCCTCTGTGTTAAAGTGCAGGAGTTACGATCATTGTAGTCTGTCTCGCAGTCCCTGAACCACATTATTTTCCCTTCCACCTGTTCCTTTCTGCAATGCTAAAACTCTGAATGAAGCAAGTCTAGATTTTCTGAATCTCCCATCTCACTGGGTCTCCTTTTCAATTTGAATAGGTTTATTTGTTACAATCAAAATTATATATATTCAGAGACCAAGCGTTAGTCTACGATCATTGTAGTGCTATGATTACTTGCACATACAGTCATGGTAATGACAGAGTTAGGCTGACCAATCAGTGGTTGGGATTATGAGAAACAAGCAAATCCGTCAGGTCCTACTTGGTGTCCAACTATTCCTCATCTTTCAAAGTGTGAGGTACCGTATATGACCGTAGATAAGCGATCTCGTACATAAGCCGAAGTCCTAACTTGACCCTTAAAATCAGTATCAAAATGGTAATCTAAATCCTTTGTCATAAGTTACATGCAGGAATGAGAATGCAGTTTTGAGAAAAACTCTGAAAACTAGCCGAAGCTCCTGATATTTAGGCATTTTAGACCTTTAAAACTGGCTCAGAAATGACAATATCATGAACAGAGCAACCATTAAAAAACTTTAAATCTGCTGAAGCACATTTATACAATTGTCAACGGATTTAGACGATTCACAAAACTGACCCTTGGCCTTATGAAATTCCCGAATTATGCGGATCCGCGGAAAATTCTCATCCCTGTGCATGTGGTCACTAGGAAAAAATACTTCCTATGTTATCATAAAAATACTGTTATGATCAGTCGAACTTTACAGAAATTCATTACTGAAATAATGAAACAGTTCTAACAAAACAACTATTGATACTGCAGATAGAATTTCTAAATTAAAATAACAAATAATGTTATGATAATATTCAATTTCTCATAGATCATCAGCATCATAACAATAAAATATCATGCACATATCATCATCTGTGTGTTATTGAATAAAAAATAACAAAATAAAATAACAAACGAATGATCAATTGAATCTACAGATTGTGATTTCATTAACAGTTTGATTGGAAAGTTCTAACAAACATTTCATACAAAAACTTCAAAAGGACAATACAACCAGAACTATATCAACATGTTGGTCTGGGAGTGAGTCGGTGTGTGAGAGCTGATGTCGAACTCATCGACCATCATATAGTAGCATCTGTCGCTCGCCCAGTAGTAGAACAATACTGGCTGCAGCAACAGATGCCACATTACGCATCTACATCACTGGATATTGATAATACCTCGTAATGCCCCAGTTGATACAACTATTTTCCAGACCACTTGAAAAATGTTCTCATGACATTCCTCTTCCGAAAGAATTATCTTCTTTTAATATATTGGAGATTGTCAAAATGATTAAATGGAATGAGCAATTAGCTGAATTTAAAACGAACTCAGAAAATCTGACCCTCCTTTACATGACAGCTTGATTGATTTTGTTCACCAAGATCCCCTGTACACAAACAACATAATATATTTACATTGCAAATACGTACAAAGATAACACGCCCGACGCACAGCTACAGAACTGATAAATGTATTTTTGCTGCTTTCCTCGATGAACATAATACCCGTTTATCTGACTTTGCTTTGATATAGAAGAGAAACAGATCGGACTGACTTACACTGGAAATGTTGTGTTAAGAGGAATTTCCATATCAATGAAAGCATTGAAATGCCGATCTGCAATTCAAATTACATAATAAATACTCACATCCTTTCCATAAACAAAGAATACAAACATGCCAGTATTTCTAGTAAAAACGCCTCTATGACCGCACAGTAAACTTGTACAATCTTCTACATATTTTATTCACCTGCAGATAACGTATTAAGGGCAGGTTGTAATACTGGACATGAAAGCAGTGAATATTTAGGAATGCCATACAAACCCTTGTCAATCATTTGTGGGCAATATTGAACACATGATACACAAGAGCTATCAGGAAGTGATATCAACACTATCCTTCCCACAGCTGGTCCTCAGCCACGCTCACGGACCCCCGAGAACCGTTCAGATGTAACACCACAAGCATGAAGTAATATCACTAAATGATTATATAATTCCTTCCTTACTGTTACAGCGGTACAGTAGAGCCAGACATTCTGCCATACTCGTAGTGGAACCAGTACAGAATCGGTACAGCCGGATCAGGTCTATCTTCCTCTCAGAGTAACCCTCAGTCTCTCCGCCGTATCAACCAGCCACCATGTACAGCCCTACCAACCCACACTGCTTACTTCACAACTGTTCAATCACAATATCCCTCCTTCCCATCCTTGCGCGACTGTAGTTCAACATGGCTGACAGCTGAACCATTTAGAAGTGAATGGAAGTTCCATTAGGACATAGATTGTATCAGATGAATGGTCACATGAACGATTATCGTAAAGACGGGCATGCACACATCCTTGGCCAGTGTTGACGGCAAAATAGCTGTATTCCACTGAGTGTTCCAGGCGATATAGCCATATTGGCTCACCCCCTCCATGGCAATAACATTTAATGGAGCTGTCAAAATTTAAAATTCAATCAATGTCAACGTGTTTGGGTTCATCAGCCTGGTTCCGCCTAGCATGGTATCCCCCTCAAGTCTTTGAGTAATGTCATGCCAGCGCCAACCAAAGACTCAACACCGTTTCTGCATCTCTCTTGTCTGCCCAGACAGCTACACTCCAGTGCTTTCCACCACTCTCCTAACTGCCTTTCATAATTTTATACACAGGTTTATCAATAATTCAAATGCATTCACTTAATCTTTTCATTGTGTTCTTCCTCACTCTGTGAGACATCACTTAAAAGGGAATTTACACAAGTTCAATGGCTGATTACCGTGGGAATTCTAACTTGAATAAGTTTTAGTCCGAAGTGAAAAATGAAGATGTGTCATTAGCCAAGTCTCTGACGTTTGACATCAATAATAAATCTCTGCTTCAGAAGACACTCTAAAATCCATATCTCAAGAAAACACATTCATTCTGTCTGTTCTCTCTGCTTGTCCATGTCAGTCAATGTAGTTAATAAATTAGTTCCAAGAAAGGAATTGCATTGAATGAGTCTTTCCATAAACACAAAGCTTCAAATAACACTACACATATCAATAAAAATTTGTATTTAAAGAATTTTTTTCACACTTGATACTTCTAATTTGCAATAACACGCAACACACTGTTGCCGATTAGTGAGAACAGATTATTAGATTTGCATAAATTCCATCAGAGGTCATGCTGACCTTGAGTCATTAGCCATCGGAGACAAAATTTGTTCCATGTAATGATTCAGTATAGATTTTATGTACACCTAGTTGTCGTGTTATCTGAAATAACATGGTCTCAGTGCTGACAATTATGACGTTCAATACTTGTCAATGAAGCCTAGAAACCACTTCAGCCTCCTCAGTCTCTCCTTGCGCGACTGTTGTAGGTATCGACGTCGTCGCTGATGTTGCCGTCACTCCAGCCACACTACACATACTGATCAATACAGTGTGTTACAGTACAAACCTTACAATGTAACTTCCTTAGGCTTATTCCTGCTATTTACAAACCATCTTGACAATGCCGCGATGCCTTGTCATAATTATGCGTTAAGGAAATAAAGCCGGAAATAGATTGAAAAAGATACATATTTTATATAAATATGCATTTTTGATATAGATATGCAGGTGGTGAGGGAAGGGGGTAAATGTTTCCTCGTCATTTCACCCATCCCCCCATGAAGTTACTGAATCATTTCTTGAAGCCCATGATAGACATAGTTACATAACAACTGACAAGATGGCTTAATAATTCAGGTGGTTTTACACCTGTGTCCTGAGTGTTTCACACTCAAGAGTCTTGCTTGTCACCAACTGTAGGCATAAGGGCCCAGGATTTTTTCTAAACTTGGTTTATGAATCCAATGACCCAAAATTGAAATGAGACCAATACACAAAAAAGCGTGGGTTTTTTCCTTCCAAAATATTAATAATAAATAAATTAGTTAAAACACTATAATTAAACCTGTTGAAAATTTGTCTTAAGCAATTAAAACATGCAAATATGACAAATCAGATTTCGGAATTTCATATTATTTTTCAACCTTTTGACCTCAAGGTTTAGTACAAACATTTGAAATGATATGGTATCATATACTCCAGATCTGAAAGTCTGAAAAGCCATCATTTCAACAATCACTTGATTGTCCAGTAAAATTGATGATACATTAGAAGTACAACTAAAAATAAGGCCAGAACAATTTTATTTCTTTTTTTACGGATTTATGTCCTCAGAAACCTAACAGCAGAAGGGGAAAAAAATAAAAATAAAATCACCAGTCAAAGTAATATTCCTTCTAAATACTCAAAGCATTTTACTTTGGGCAATTTATGAAGTGTATATGGGGCAAAAAACAATCTAAAAATTATTTTTCTTGTAAGTTTACATTTTTGGCCAATAAAAACATGAGGATTTTATTTTTTGAGTGTGGAAAATTGATTTTTTTTCCTTATTCTTGACAAAAATATGAGAGGTGGATCCTTAAAACAAGAAATATAATTGGTCTGGCCTAAAGGAAGTTTAAAATTGTATGTACCCCCAGGTACTTTCTGTATCACTCACTGAGTGTTTCTTATGGTCAATAGTACAACTGACATCTAAAAAAGGGGCAGTTGGGTAGCCAAGTAGTTAAAGCATTAGTTCTTCATGCCTAAGACCTGGGTTTGATTCCCTACTTGTGTACTATATGTGAAGTCCATATCTATTGTCCCTCTGCAATAATGTGGCTGGGATAGTGCTACAAGAGACGTAAAATGATACTCACTCACTTGATACTCAACCCTTGTTTATTCAAGTTTGAAAGTCGATACCAAGACCACTTAAACACATTCACATACAGTTGAGCATCGTTGTGTCGAACTCTGATAACTCGATATCTCGGTTGTCTCGATATAACATCTCGTTCCCGGCAAAATCCTTCATAAATTATCATTATTCAAGCTTTTAACTCGATACGGATGTCTCGATATTTTGAATCAAAACATACTGATAATCATTTTGTTTTCTTTCATAGTGATATGTGATGATATGCCCTGGTCGGATGTCTCGAAGTTCGGATAACTCGATATTTTTTCTTAGACCCATGAATATCGAGACAACGGTGCTCGGCTGTATATTTACTCTGCAACATGATTTTTTATATTCATGATTCAAATGTGTGTTCATGAGGTCAGTGATGCAATATGAAACCTTTCACCCTGCAGACATTTGGAATTTGTCACATAAAGGGCTCTTTTCTTTTTCCTCAAAACGAAATACCGAACCATTTTCATCAATGCCAACACAATGGCAACTTGACAGCGAGTACTCCTATCTGGGGGAGCACAAGTCCTCTTGGTTTTGAAAGAAACCCGTGCTCCTTATTCACTCAACGTTGGAACAAAAAGAAACTTCAAATTGGAAGTGCAACGAGAGCTCATCTCATGAGGGTTACATACCTTAGAAGCTGGTTGATGGCACGACAGTATCGTGTGCACTTATACCCCCACAGATGACCATTTACCTTCGACTTGACCTTCATAATGTATCAAAGAAGAACAAACAAAGAACAAGTCCTGTCCCCGAAGGTGTCAAAGAGATTCCGACTTTGGTCTCCATTGCCCTCTAGGCCTTCAAGAACAGAAGGCATCTTAACATGGTCACAACTGGCAGAAAGATTCTAATTGGGTTTGTTTTTTGTGTTCTCCTTCAATAGGGACCTTAAGGAGTTGATCAGGAAGTGGTTATTGGAGCAACGTTGAGGCCAGCTTTAGGGTACAGGAGGGGGAGCTGCAAGTTGGGGGAGTCTGGTTGGACATAAGTCTTACAGCCTGGAAGGGGCCAGCATGTCTTAGGGCAGTATATCAGGGGTCACCACAGTGTATTTTATGTCAAACATCAAAATTAAAACGTGTTAAAACTTCCACATGTCTCTAAGTAAATGTGTTATAGTTTAAGTCAAACTGAGCATGTTATTTTTAAAGTGATTCAGTATATAAAAATTTCAGAGTGATACCATTTTGTCATCTTGGAGCTGCTACCAAAATACCACAACCTTGCACTGAGAGCGAGTTTACACAGCAAGATATATGGTGTATACCCTGTGATAGCATAACCTGAAAGTTGTCTTCACAAAAGACTGGCATCCTGCATTGTCAGATATCTAGACTTGCCTATTCTAATGATAGAATTACCATACACCCATGGACTTGTTATTCAGTACAGACTTGGAGCAAGGCCAGCACTATTACTAAAAGTGAGTGAGTGAGTTTTAGTTTTGTCATTTTTAGCAACTTTCCAGCAATATCAAGGCGGGGGATACCAGAAATGGTCTTGACACTTTGTCCCCACGTTGAGTCTTGTGCCAAGTGAACGCTTTAACAATTAGGCCCCTTATTGAAAGGCTGTTTGATTCTTTGTCGGGAATCGAACACGGGTCTTTGGCATGATGAGTGAACGCTTTAACCGCTAGGCTACCCCATAGCCCCTCAAAATAAGGGAGTCATTATAGACTGCTGTACAGCATTTTAATCTTCAATCTTCTGAATCTCGGCTATTAACTTTGTGCACTTGCGAAGAACACCTTGACTTTCATGCTTAATTATAAACACTGCAACCTCAGAAAGAAGGACTGATAATGCAGAGTCTGTCCTGACAAAGAGCATGCATTGCACGTAAACCAGCATGATCATAGATTAAACATGTGGACATAAATCACGTCACCAAGAGACCACACAGAGACCAAGAACTAACTGCTTCCAGTATATCACACATCAGGACATACACAGAGGCAGAATTCACTTCACATTCAAAGCCCGCACAAAGTTAAAGAATGTGCACATTAAACAGCCTAGTATTATAAAAAGAAAACCTGGCCAAATATTTTGCAAGTGTCTATAACTAAAGTCCTGTCATGAACCAAGATGAGTCTACCATGAGGTGAATACCGTCACTAGAAATAGCAGCAATCCTGCTGGAGACCCGTAATTACTGCTCCAACGACACCAAATTATGGCAATTTAGATGGTGGCTGACAATATGACCACACAAACTAAATTACAGTGACTGGTGTCCAGCTGCACTGAACGCTGCACAAGTTCTTTCTGTCCCAGAACCCCAGAACACGAGGACTACTTCAATAAACGAGGGGATAATTATAGTCTAGAACGGTGTCAACACTCACATGATGCCCAAGCAACAATGGCGTGACACCTCTCAGTTCCCAGCTTTGAGACTATACTACAATCCTCCGTACAAAAACTGAAAATTCTTATCCTTGAGTTGTTTTTAAGTTTCAGACGGCCATGTATCAAATGCTCACATAATTGGGATTTACATACAAACACTCTCTCTTTTCAACCTGATATCTACATCCCTTAACTAATTGCAGCAAAATAAACAAATGCAACAAGAAAATTCAAACTACAAACATAGTCCTCTT